CCATAGGTGGTATAGAGTGCACACTGCTGGGAGAAGTGGCCTGGCTTCCCTTCTTTGTGTGATTGGAAGTTGACCACCATGTAGAGGGCGCAGGATGCTGGGTCCTGATTCCTGACATTGCGTAGCTCTGAGTAAGAGAGCTTATGGGCACTAGGCATTCCTGTCTCTGGGAATATTTTCCCATCTCCATGGAAGCCCTGGACTTGTCCAGCCATGGTCTGCCATTTTATAAATATAGTATTTTGAATTTCTACAGTTCCACCATGACTACCAAAAGAATTCTCTACAGTTTAACCATGACAACCAGTAGAATGTCACCAATTCTAAAATTAATTTTATAAAGCCTGGATGGAGAGCAAGTGCTTTTTAAAAGTTGGCTGTTTTTGTGCTCCGTTTTGGTTTTCCAATTTCATGTAATGGAAAGGTCTACTTTGAAAGCAAGCGGGGGATATATTTTGATCAGAGGGGCATTTATCATATTTGTATTGTTGAAGATGTTCAGAAATCGTTGCCTAAAAAAAAAAAAAAGAAGCTGTATTGTGTGGCTTTCATTGCTGTGAAGTCCAGCCTTGAGCATTAAAAGCTTTCAAAAGGACCTTCTTTTAATCTCCAGATGTTCTTCTATTATGTTTTGTGTTAAATAGAAAATGGTCAATTAGCTGTCCCCTGCTATTCCAGGGATTCAGTGGTGAAGAATTAACTGCTGACTACTGGGATTTGGAGAAAATGCGTTAAAAAGCTTTGCACATTTCTTTTTTTTTTTTCTTTTCCTCAAGTGGATTGAAAGAAATGCATTTCAATGTAGTAAGACATCAATGAAGTTTTTGAAAAGTCCCCAAGTGTTCTACTAACACTTGTAAGAGGGAATCCTTTCTCTGCAGTAAAGCGTATCGTCCACTGGTGGTCTTTGTACTAACTTTCAGCACACCCTCTTCTGAAAATACCACAATTAAACATACAAGGTTGTTGGGCCAAGTAATTATTTTTTCTTTAACTTTGCTAAAAAAAAAAATATTTTTTTTTTTTTTGTAAAAGAAGGTTTAATGGATATTTGAAGGAGTGGTATCACAAAAATATAACTTTAATATTAATGGGCAAATCTGTACTACTTGAACATAAAGACGTTCAAAATAAAGATGGTATAGCTTTTGAAATTTAGAAACACAAGATGTCTTTGTGTACAGTAATGGTAGAAAGTGGTGTTCCTCAAAATTCTCTTCCCACCAACTGTCTGTGTTTTCTAGAATTTCCCACTCTATCCAAAACTGACTGCGGTTTTGCTTAGTGGAAGTGGCTGTGTATGCCCCAGCAGAGCTATGATTGGGTTTCATGCAGTCTCACAGTTGTGGGAGAATTCAAAAAGTTAGGGAGCCTCTCCTTAGTATATCATGGGTGTCAGTTTTTGGGGGTAGTGTTTAGACAGAATGTTACCCACAAACCTGTAGACCTGCGGGAAGATTATGGACATTCAAATATTTACATTCTCTTAACAAGCAGTAATTAGGTTTTAATACAAGTCCTCACTGCCCTCTGGAGCTACAGGCTCTTTGAGGCAATTAATCCTCAAACTTAGAAGAGAAGCAGTGAAATCATCCAACTCTAGTCTGTCTGGTATGCTGCTCTCACCCCTCTTCCTGTGCTCTTGCTCTGTGTTTACATAAGTGATTAGATTGACAGGCTGCTGAGTCACTGCTAGGAGGGGGAAGCAGAATGTGCTTCTTCTGTAATTTGTGAAGTTGAATTGCTCCACAGTGACAGAAACTACAAAGATCAGTGCAGGTTTGTTTTAAAGCTTTTTACTGCTCTTTTAAGAGTTTGGAAATACTGGACTGTCCATAGCATGCCCATAGTTCTGCTTTAAAGAATTGGTGTTCCAGCTCCCCAAACTATGGCAGGCCATAGATTATGCAATTTTCTTTCCTGCAACCATGGGTTGCAGGAAAGAAAATTTCTCGATTCATCCCGTGGAGCTAATGTGTTCTTCCGGTGGGTGGAAAAATTTCTTGATTCATCCCGTGGAGCTAATGTGTTCTTCCGGTGGGTGGGGGGTGCAGGGTGCCAGTAACCATCTCTGCCGGTAGAGCGCAATGATTACTGCTAGCGGCTATAGCTGTTAGCAATAATCATATGTAAAATCCATCAATCTGTTTTATCCCAATTAATCGATTGATTAACTTGGATACATTCAGCCTGCCATACATGGTTGAAAAATCCAAAATGCTGGTTGTACCCAAGTTGCTTGATGGGTCAACTTTTGGTACAATCAGCCTGCTCATAGAATGATCGAATCCCGGATGGTTCAGCAGGGACCGGCCAAGATTCAATCCATCTATGGCCAGCTTAAGGAAATATCATAGGTTTTTTATTTAAAGGTCTAAACGGAGTTGCCATTAAAAACCATAGAAGCATTTTTGTTTGGATTGGAGCTCTTCTTTAAAAGACTTCAGTAATTAATAATCAGTTTGAACTTGCTGCCCAGTGCTATAAAAGGTGACTAATTAAATAACAAAGCAAATCCAAATGTAACCCTCCTTAGGGGGTTAAGGCAGTGGAAAAAAAGGATTAGGTGGTTCACAAAGGGCTAAGCCGCTTTCTGCAGTGTATTTACTGTTAAATCGAAATCAATAGGTCTTCACTGCCACTGCAAAGAGTATAAAACTCGATTAAAAAATCAATCTGTTTTACAGGCTAATTAATGTCCAGATCAATCCGCATTAAACTGTAATTAAATAGATTAACTAGACAAATCTGATGGATTTTCTGCTGATAGGGCTGTAGAGAGATCAACAACTGAGCGTTTCAATCAGAATACATTTTGGAAATATCTGATCGGTCATTTTTGGGAATAATAATACACCAGCCTTTGTTAGTATGAGCGACCCTGAATATATTAGGGGCTTGTGTAGAAGTTTGTTTCTGTGAGTTTGCTGTGCATTTGATCTGCTTTGAGTTGGTTTTTTTTGGCAGTAGCAGATCCTGTAGCGATGTGTTCAAACTACAGGAAAAGATGATCAGGCGCAGATTGCGGCCGCATAATGCATGCATTTGAGCAGCGCTTTGCTCGAATGCAAAAGGCAGTCAGTTGCATATCTTGTTTTTTTTTTTTTTTTTTTTTCTTTTTTCTTTCTTTATTTTTTGCCTTTTTCTTTTCTGTTTTTGCTTTATTTATTTTATTTTTGCCTTTCTTTTGTTTTTTTTTTTTTCTTCTCTTCAATCCTTTTGCATTTTTTTTTTTATTTTAGATGGTTCTCTTTTAAAGGGACTACATGTATGTTTGCAACAGCGCTTGACTCTACTCAAATTATGATATGAACTGCAACCTTTTTTTTATTAGAATGTTTACTTGGCTGTTTTTTTCCTCTGCATGATTACGGTTGCAAGGAGAAATATACAAATGCTTACAGTAATTATCCTGGGCAACTCCTAAAACACTAATTGGTTATAGCTGCTAATGTGAAGAAACACCTTCCCCAGTGGCGCTGTGAACTCTGAATCAGAAATGTATACTCATTAAACTAAATTTTAAAAAAAAAAGTCCTTATTAGCATAAGTCCATCAAATCCATGTGGATATCACTGTAAGTGCTTCAATCTTCTTGTCACTTTACATCCCAAACCAATATCACCACGTGCTCGTGAGACAACATTCCCTTCTGGGTGTACACTCACCAGACTCACCTACCTCCCACTCTCATGGTTGCATGTCTCGCTTGTTGAGCCTCCACTTAAAAGCACCGCTGTGTAAAACTTCATAAACCTCCTTACTTCTGTCCCCCAGGTATCATTTCCATGGAAAGATAAAAATTAATCCCCAATGGAACAATAACCAACGTTCAAAGTTTTGAAGAAAAAGAATTCCTGATCGTAAGCCACCATCCCAGAATATTATGCAAATTTGAGAAAAAAAAACAATCTAATGGGACTTTTAAGGCATTAATACATATAATTAAAAATATATGAAATCTTTATTTTCCATCAAATTTGTAAAAATTTCCACACATATAAAACGTGTAGTAACAGCGGTTTCTGAAGGTCATATATATCGTTACATCACCATTATGAGTTATTTGTTAGTTACAGAATTTGTCTTATAAATTGTATTATGTGCAGAAATTTTTAAAACATTTGAGAAAAAAAAAACCCAATTTAATGGGACTTTTAAAGCATTAATACATATAATTACAAATAAATGTAATCTTTATTTTCAATCAAATTTGTAAAAATTTCCACACATATAAAACGTGTAGTAACAGCGGTTTCTGAAGGTCATGTATATCGTTACATCACCATCATGAGATATTTGTTAGTTACAGATTTTGTCTTATATATAAAATCTTTATTTTCCATCACATTTTTAAAAATTTCCACACATAATACAATTTATTTTTAATTGTATTAATGCCTTAAAAGTCCCATTAAATTAGTTTTTTTTTCTCGAACTTTCATAATATTCTGGGGATGGTGGCTTACAATCAGGAATTCTTTTCTTCAAAACTTTGGTTATGGTACCATTGGAGATTAATTTTTCTCTTTCCACGGAAATGATACCTGGTGGACAGGAGTAAGGAGCTTTCTGAAGTTTTCTACAGCAGTACTTTTAAATGGAGGCTGAACAAGCGATCCATGCAACCATGAGAGTGGAAGGCATGGGAGTCTGGTGAGTGTACAGAAGGGAATGTTGTCTCACGAGCACGTGGTGATATTGGTTTGGGATGTAACGTGACAAGAAGATTGAAGCACTTACAGTGATATTCACATGATTTGACTTGTTAGTTACAGAATTTGTCTTATAATACAATTCATAAGACAAATTCTGTAACTAACAAATATCTCATGATGGTGATGTAACGATATATATGACCTTCAGAAACCGCTGTTATTACACGTTTTATATGTGTGGATATTTTTACAAATTTGATGGAAAATCAATATTTCATATATTTTTAATTACCGTATTTCGCGCTCCATAAGACGCACCTGACCATAAGACGCACCTAGGTTTTAGAGGTGAAAAACAAGAAAAAAAATATTTGGAACCAATGGACTGCAGACACAGTACAGGGGATGACCAGAGACTGCAGACACAGTACAGGAGATGACCAGAGACTGCGGACACACAGTACAGAGAGCGGACCATACTACAGGGTCTGCGTACATACTACAGGGAATGACCAGAGACTGCGGACACAGTACAGGAGATGACCAGAGACTGCGGACACAGTACAGGAGATGACCAGAGTCTGCGGACATACTACAGGAGATGACCAGAGACTGCGGACATATAGTACAGTCTGCGGACATAACCAGAGACTGCAGACAGTACAGGGATGACCAGAGACTGCAGACAGTACAGGGGATGACAGAGACTGCAGAGTACTGACAGACTGCAAAAGTACAGGGGATGACCAAGGGACTTTGGACCTTTGGGGAGGGAGGGGGAGCGGGTACCTGAAGTTGTCCTTTCTTTAGTGTGGGCACGCTGGCTTCTTCCCGCGCTGGTTTCTATGACAGCCGGGTGCCCACTGAGCATGTGCGAGAAGCGCTGCGCTTTGTAAATGGCCCGGAGCCTTCTGGGACCTGTCATGTGTCCCAGAAGTCACCGGATCATTCACAAAGTGCAGCGCTTCTCGCACATGCGCAGTGGGCACCTGGCTGTCACAGAAGCGGCGTGGGAAGACTGTACAGCGCTGGACAGAGGAACAGGTAAGGTCCTGCAGGAGAGAAGAGCTGAGCGGCCGGCCCGTATTCTGACATGGTGGCGAAAATACTGGACCGGCCGCTCCATATTTGCTCCATAAGATGCACTGACATTTTCCCCCCTTTTTTGGGAGGGAAAAAGTGTGTCTTATGGAGCGAAAAATACGGTACATGTATTAATGCCTTAAAAGTCCCATTAAATCTGTTTTTTTTTTTTTTTCTCAAATTAACGTTCAAAGTTTGAATCAATAAAATTAGCCACTCACAAAGTAGATACATTTAAAATGCTAATCATCATAACACTGTAGAGTGACATCAGATGTGGGAATGTGTACTCTCACCACTGCCCGACCTCTCGGATAACGCTTCTGCATCACTTCCGGTACCAGCTCTAACGGGACATCCTTTCGTTGCGCAGCCTCACCCTGACGTGTTTCGTCACTTCCGACTTAGTCATAGAGATCCCTATGATCAACAAGCGATACATGCTAACCATGAGAGTGGGAGGCATGTGCGTCTGTTGAGTGTACACCCAGAAGGGAATGTTGTCTCATGAGCACGTGGTGATATTGGTTTGGGATGTAAAGTGCCAAGAAGATTGAAGCACTTACAGTGATATCCACATGGATTTGATGGACTTATGCTAATAAGGACTTTTTTGAGATTTGTTTAATGAGTATACGATTCTGATTCAGAGTTCACAGCGCCACTGGGGAAGGTGTTTCTTCACATTAGTAGCTATATTTCTGTATAAAGTGGCAGCAGTGAATTACATTTATCTATCATTGTTTTTTGGTTAATTATTTCAAGAAGGTGTTAATATTTTATTTATTTATTTTATTCTGAGCATGCATCCAGTGCGAAGGTTTAAATATTGATTGTTACTAATTGGCTATAGTTGCTATGGACGACTATGAATATATGAGTGGCTGATGGTTGCTATGGCAACTTTGAATATGCTAGCCCTTGATGGTTACTCTAGCTGATGATATACTGTAATTTTATATGCAAATTGTAATAACTATTATGGATGGCTCTGATTTATTGAATCCACTAACTGTTGACGGTTGCTAGGGATGACTCTGAAAAGGCGAACCATTGATTGCCATGGGTAACTCTGAATAAATTATTATTTGATGGTTGCTATGAGTGATACTGAATATACTAATTAGTGATGGTTGCTATAGGTGACTCTGAATACACTCTGAATAATGGTTGCTATAGGTAACTCTCAATACATTTTTGGTTGTTGGTTGCTATGGATAACTTTGTATAAACTAATATTTGATGGTTGCTATGGATAAGAGAAGAAACTAATAATAGGTGGGTGCTGTGTGTGGCTCTGGATAAGCATTGATGGCTGCGATTGAGGACTGAATAGGTTAACCTGTGATGATTGCTATGAATGGCTCTGAATACACCGGTCATTATTGTTGCTATGGATGGCTTTAAATACACCAACCATTGATGGTTGCTATGGACAGCTCTAAGTGAACGATCACTATATGGTTGCTATGGACAGCTCTAAGTGAACGATCACTATATGGTTGCTATGGACAGCTCTAAGTGAACGATCTCTATATGCTGCTATGGACAATAGCTCATACTGGCAGCTACAGGCTTATTCTTTACCACAATGCAAAGAACATTTTTTTTTCCATGCATAGTGTTTCAACTCTTAACAACCAATCCTAAATCACAGATTCCAGTAAACCTCTATCTCATTGGTTGCTATGTGTTCCTATAAGAAGTATATTTATAGGCAAACATTTTTTAGCTTTGGCTACAGTAAAGCATTGGTAAAACCACTGTTAACATGAATTATTTTTGCAATTTGGATCCCATCATGGAGATTTTCTTCTACTTCCTGTTCCAGAGACACAGCAGGATGTAAGGAATTTTGGGGGAGCTCTTCTCTTAGACCAGTGGTGGGCAACCTTTTTTTTCAACTGAGCCAAATCTCGCCAAAACCACGATTGAAATTTATTTTGAGAGCCACATTTTTAAAACTGAAAATACATCCCCCATATAGTAATTCATCCCCCATAGTAATTCATCCCCCATAGTAATTCATCCCCCATATAGTAATTCACCCCCCATATAATAATTCATCCCCCATAGTAATTCATCCCCCATATAGTAATTCATCCCCCATAGTAATTCATCCCCCATATAGTAATTCATCCCCCATAGTAATTCATCCCCCATATAGTAATTCATCCCCCATATAGTAATTCATCCCCCATAGTAATTCATCCCCCATATAGTAATTCATCCCCCATATAGTAATTCATCCCCCATAGTAATTCATCCCCCATATAGTAATTCATCCCCCCTATAGTAATTCATCCCCCATAGTAATTCATCCCCCATATAGTAATTCATCCCCCATAGTAATTCATCCCCCATATAGTAATTCATCCCCCCTATAGTAATTCATTCCCCATATTGTGTCAATTCACTTACCTTTGCTCCGCGCGTTCCTCTCGCCGTGTTCCCGTGCCGTTCTGGTCTTCAGGGCGGACTGTGAGAGGAGAGGAGTTCGTCACGCTGCCCCGCCTACATCCTGACAGCCAATGTTTGCCACGCTCCGCGGGCCAGATTAAAAGGTCCGCCGGGCCGTATGTGGGCCGTAGTTTGCCCATTGCTGGGCTAGCTGCAGAGTCCTGACTTTTGGGGCGGCCGCCCGAGAGGAGGGAGAGAGGAGCGGGCGCCCGGCACACAGAACAGCTGCATTAAAGTGTGCAAAGAGCCGCATGTGACTCGCGAGCCGCGGCTTGCCGACCACTGTCTTAGACAGTTGTTACCAGGATAGTAGTTCTCATTTGAAGAATTCTCTATTCCTGTTTGGTAATAGTTGTCACCTGGGAAAACAGAGGGTGACTCTCCCCAAAGGGGATGATGACAGCTATAAAAACATCTCTACAAGCATACTTTTTTAGAAGGGGACATAACCGCACCATATACAACTGAAACAACAACTGTTAAAATATTGTTTTATTTACTCTTATCTTGTTCAAATAAGTAAAAAAGACACCAAACATAATGTGACAGCATGGTATATACATCAATATCAATGGCAAAGCAAACTGCTTCATCTGCAGCCAGGAGAATTATCTCCAAAATTGTACTCTCCAACGCGTTTCATTTCACAATAGAATCTTCTTCAGGGTAAAATAATACAGCAGAAGCTTCTACATAGTAAAATAAAGACATATAAACAGACTAATCTTTACATACTAGACAATCATCATATACACCAATTGGTTTACATAACCATTTGTCAGAAAACTATTTTTTGCAAATGACTCCTCCACCATCGCTGGAGCATAAGGACACCGTAGTGATCCCTTGGCAGGTGGAAGCTAGTGGAAAAAAAATCATAAATACTAATAACTACTAACGATATATACGAATTAAAATGTAATCAGTCATACGTATAAAGAAATCTGAACACACGTACAGTAATCAATAGGTAGTTATTAGCATTTGTGATTTTCCCCCCCCCCCCCACTAGCTTCCACCTCCTAAGGGACCACTATGGTGTCTTTATACTCCAGCAACACTGGAGGAGTCCTTTGATAAAATAGTTTTTCAAACTGTCAAATGGTTATGCAAGTCAATCAGTGTATATGATAATGATGGTCTATTATATAAAGATTAGTCTGTTTATATTGTTTATATATCTTTGTTTTACTTTGTAGAAGTTTCCGCTATATTCTTTTTTTCCCCCTGAAGGAGATTCTATTGTGAATTGAAACGCGTTGAGGTTGTACAATTTTGGAGATAATTCTCCTGGTTACAGAAGCAGTTTGCTTTGCCATTGATATTGTTGTATACATCATGCTGTCACATTGTGTATGGTGTCTTTTTTTTTTTTTTTTTTTACTCATTTTAACAAGATAAGAATAAATAAAACAAGATTCTTAACTGTTATATCAATTTTATATGGTGCTGTTAAAGTCCCCTTTGAAAAAATTATTCTTATTTAGATGTATTCGTCATCATCAGGGATGTGGCACCCCATTGATTTGGTTTTGAAGACCACTCTTTACAGACGGCTATAAAAACCTGACGGGATCTGATGCTTTATCAAAAAATACAAAAAAAAAAAAAAATACTGGCTATAAATACAATTTAAATAATGTAGTACAATGCATTTCCCTATTGAATAAGCCCATAAACTGGCCAATGTTCGATGTGTCCATGAGTCTGAATTTTTAATTGTATATATTTGTAGCCCTGTCCTTTTTTTTTATTCCAGTTCTTATTTTCGTATGTGAGACAAGCTGTCTAGTTCAAGGTTTAAAACAACGGAGCAAATTCATTTTTCCTCTGTCTACCCCATAAACTCTGACCTAACCACACTAATCCAGACACTGCTTCGGCCTAATCCCTTCCTAATGTCCAATATATGTAATGTTTAGTAGGAATAAAAGGCCGGCGAATGTCATTATGGGTAACAAAGGCCGTTCCCTCATGTTATACATTATAGACAAACTAGTTTAATCAAGGTTCAGTACTTGGGTTGAACTGCTTACATGCGGAACATTTGGTTTCAATTATGACTCTGGCACCTAATCACAGCAATAATGGTGGTATTTCCAATGGAGTCTTATTGCCCTATTTGGTATTTGGGATTCACGGGCTGTTTTGAATTATTTAGCTGTGATTCACTTTGAAAGCCCTAGAATGCATATGATGCCTAATA